CCAGTCGCGTTTTATGGGTTTATATTAGTACTTTGAACTTCGAAATGGAGAAGGAGCTAAACACATTCTAAATATATAAGATTAGTTCAAATGACGTATTACAGGCAATAGGGAGCCTAAAATCTGATGCGAAGGGAATTGATGGTATATCCCTGTCAATGATCCAGCTTTGCCTGCCAGTTATTCTCCATCACATCGTCCACATCTTTAACGACTGTTTGGAAAAAGGCTACTTTCCAAACACATGGAAACAAGCTCTAATTATTCCAATTCCTAAAAAAATGAAACCCACTGAGTATAATGATCTCAGACCTATCAGTTTATTAATAATTTTATCCAAAATTTTAGACAAAATTATAAAGTTCCAATTGACCGCTTACCTAGAATAATTCTTTATACTTCCCGACACTCAATCCGGTTTTAGAAAAAATTATAGTACAACATCTGCCCTACTTAATCTGCAAGACAATATTTTAAGTGCCTTAGATAAGAAAATGGCACTAGCCTTAATCTCTATAGACTATTCGAAAGCCTTTGACAGCATCAATCATAAATTATTACTTGCTAAATTAAATTACATAGGTCTTGACAGTGTATCACTTTCATTTATCGACAGTTACCTTCATCAAAGAACTCAGTGTGTTTTTCTCAATCAAGAAATGTCTCAAGTGACAATAATTCCCTCAGGCGTACCTCAGGGCTCTGTATTGGGGCCGCTTCTATTCCTCATATATACGTTCAACTTAAGCAAAAGTATTGATAACTCTCATGTCCAGACATTTGCAGACGATACGTAATTGCTCCATTATTTTAACCCAGATTATGTCAATAATACTACTCAAATTTTACAAAACGATGTTAATAAATTAATTAAATACTCTTTAGATCACAATCTACTTATTAATCCACAAAAAATCTAAAATGTTATTATTTTGCGCACAAAGAAAAACATACAATGTAACACAGTTCTTGAACATTCAGATAAATAACCAAATTTTGCAATTTTCTGATTCTGCAAAAATTCTTGGTGTTGTTTTTGATACAAAATTAAGGTTTGTTGAACATGTTAAAAGTCTATCTCAGAAAACCTACCTACGGCTGCGCACTCTTATAGCAAACAGGTATTAACTAAATTTTAAGTTGCGTAAAAAACTATGTGAAGCATTGGTCATATCTATACTAAATTATTGTAATATCGTATACTATACTTGTTTAGACAATTTCACTAGAAACGTTATTCAAGTTATTCAAAACAATTGTATACGATTCATTTTTGGCTTACGTAAATTTGATCATGTATCAGCGAAATATCCCTTTCTAAACTGGTTAAAAATTAATGACATGATCAAAAAAAAAGACGTCTATTATTATTATTATTATAATTATTATTATAAGTATCAATATTCAGTTTTTGTTCACAAATTGTTGCTCACGTCTAAACCTTATTACTTGAAGGAAAAAATTTCATTTAATAATGATGTTCACTGTAGAACTCTCAGAGAAAATAATATTAGAATACCCCTGCATACGTCTACACTTTTTAAACGCAGTTTTTCTTACAATGTTGCTATTATTTATAATGACCTTCCTAAAGTATATAAAGAATTTTCATTACCTGTCTTTCGACAAAAAGTTAAAACATTATTACTCAACCCTCCAAACATATAATTTACGTAATCATTCATTCATTTCTTTTTTATTCCATCTTTAAATCAGATTAATAATTTTTTGGTGCATTTGGGTTTGGAAAGTATGCCTTTTTCTCTTTTTTTAAATTTTACTTTCGATGTAATGAACCAAATCTGTTTGTGGATAGTGTATTCTTTTGAACATCTGCTAGAGACTATATGGTTAAGTGTAAGAGTAGCAGCATGCTAAACTTCGCCATATAAGTCTGACATTTGGCTATACTACAATGTAATTGTGGATAAATAAAGACGTCTATTATTATTATTATATTTAAAAAAAAAACTTGGGTGGCCAAAGTCAGATGACGAAGTTGGGTTACTTTAGCCACATGTTTTATTTAGAGAACGCAAATATAAGCCATAGCATGGGTGAGTTTGGCCATGAAAAAAATAACCAAGTATGTTTGAAGTAATTTTTGAGGGTTTCTAAATAAAAAATACTTATGACATATATTTTTTTTGTTTTATTTATAAGATTTGTAAACAGATGTAAAAAAGTGTTTTAAACTTAATTTAAACGCAAATAAGGTAGGTAACAAATCCTTTGACAAAATTTAAAATAACACAAATTCTTTGGTAAAATTAAAAATAAACACACAAACTCTTTGGTAAAATAAAAAAAAAACAAATTCTTTCGAAGGGAAATTAATAATAAAAAATAACACGTTTAACCTAAATTATAATTTTCCACTTCTGGAATTATAAAGAAACCTCATTTGGACGGAATAGGTGTCTCTATGACCTGTAAAATGTCTTCCTTCTCGTTCGGCCATTTCCTCTGCAACAATCCACTTGGTGTTAAGGATTTTATTTTGTATTGCTTCTCATCTTCTTTTCTTTCAATAACTTGTCCAGGATAAATATGTTTTTCATATAAAAATAGGACAAACTGCCCAATTTTTATGTCATTCCTTCCTTTGCATGTGTTGCTTTCGCTTGTATTTTCTTGTGTGAATTTAGTCTCACTTTCAACGTCATCATCAGGCTCTCCCTCCGATTGAAGTGACAGCAACAGAGCTTTTGGAATCATTAGAAATTGTTCTAGTTTTTTTGTTGCGGTTTAAAATGTTTTGTTTAACACCACTAGGTCCTTCAACTGGTTCGTTTTGCAAATCTAGGATTGAAATGCTCTTTCCTGTTGTTATGTTGAGCTTTTTTCCCTTGTAGTTTCTTCTGCTGGACCGGAAAATCTTCTTTCTTCAAGTAGTTCGAGGACAGCGGCACTAACATTTGTCTGGACATCGGGATCGATGGTATTCGCTCCAATATTTTCATTCGGTTTAGAGGGTAAATTCCTGCCTTTTCGAAACCGCTTATTAAATTATCTTTTCCTGATTCTAATAATAAGTGTGTCACTAATTTAAGCAAATGCTGAACATCTGATTTTGGAATTGCTTTATTTGCTCCACTAAGTTTGTAATCCGTTATGATTTGCCTCCATTTCATTTTAAGCGGCCGAAAATATGCGATGACAAGTGGCTGACTGAGATGTGTGGTGTTAGGTGGTAAACAAATGAATTTTATGTCATATTGGGAACATAGGTTTATGAGATGCACACTTAGATGCGGAGAGAGGTTATCGCCAATCAGCACTTTGGGACCCTCTAAACGCTTTAAAGGAGGAAGAACTAAATGTTCAAACCAGTCTTCGAATATATGGACCTCAAACCACCCGCTTTTTGAGCGATTATAACGTGTTCCATCTGGTCCTCCCTTCGTCCAGGTATCATACGTATTTTTTGCCTTATAAACAACATAAGGTGGCAAAATTGTGCCTACAGCATTTCTACAAAACAGTACACTTGTAGATGTTTGGACGAGTTCAGGATGCGCTCAGGATATTTGCAGCCCCGTTTTGTTAAAACTTTTTTATTACCTGGGTCATCGGATAAGTTGGATTCATCGTAATTCCAAATATTTGTCGGTGGAATCCCCCTTTATTCGTCTTCTAAGTGGTTGAAGTATTTATTAATAATATATATATATATATATATATATATATATATATATATATATATCAATTTTGCCACCTTATGTTGTTTATATATAAAGAGAAAATGATCATGCGGAGAAAGGTATATAACAAAAAGTAGAAAAATAATGGGCAAAATCCGCAAAAAAGAGGAAAGTGGTATCGATCAGAAAATAGGATAGGTAACCCGAGCAATACGTATTTCTGCTGGCCCGAAATGTTTTTTTCCCTCTCCATCTTCGTTTCCTCAGGTTACACCCGTATCCGGATGTGTGGGCATGTGTATCTAGTTTTGTAGTTTCATATGTGCATTCATTTCGGGCCTGATGAAGCCAACCAGCAGAAATACGTATCACTCGGGTTACCTATCCTATTTTCTGCTCGAATCCACTTTCCTCTTTTTTGCGGATTTTGCCCATTATTTTTTTACTTTTTTTGTATAACTTCGAAGTTGAGTCATTTATTTTAACAGTGAGTAGATCTGATCAAAAGAAATGTTTTTTTCCTTTAACATTTTTGTGGTAAAATTAAAGTAACAAAGTTATAGTCCTTTAGAAGTTTGAACACCACCCTGTCTCAATAATAATATTATGTGCTCGTGTTTGGCAACAACGGATATAATCCACCTTATCGGTTCATCGCATCGGAAACAAAAAAGCGAAAGAATTTGAAACGCTTATCACGATGTTTTTACTACAATTTTATTCAGTTGTATCCAGTCAATGTGTCAGTCGGTAACGAGTGAGTGAATAGTGGTGTTTGTTGCGTGGCTCAAACGAAATAAAAAATGGCACCTGTTTACGAAAATGCTGAACTTGTGGACATGATTCTTATTTACGGGGGGGGGGAGTCCTTACAAAATGTTGCCGCGGCATCACGGATTTATGCGGATCGGTTTCCCAATCGAGTGCAACCAACCCCTCGTGCCTTTGTTAATGTAGTACAAAGGGCTCGTAAATCAGGTGACTTAAGACCTCACAGGGGAGGGCATGCCGGTGCTCCACGACCGCACGATCAAATACAGGTCCGTACTAAAATACTTGTCGGGAGGATACTTTATAAAACAAGGTAACATTTTTTTTTATTTTTTTTTTATTTTTACACACATATTATCTGAAAATTAATGACTCAACTTCAAAGTATAATTTTATATTTGCAACAAACCTTTGTGTCACTGTTGGATGTGTTTTTAAAAATAGTCTTAGCCATTCACTACCAGGAAGATTATTTGTAAATCTGCTTATAACTACACCCTTTCGATCTAGACAGCACTTCACAAGTTTTCTTAAATCTAGAGAATCTAGAGGAAAACCATATGACGATGTTAATAATAGATTTGCTTAGATTTTTTTTTCTTCCTCCACTGACAACACGGCCTGGCCACCTTCAGGTCTATTGTGCACTCCCTTCAGCTTATTCTTCAATGTCGCTCGAGGTATTTTGAATCTCGTAGAACATTGTCTTTGTGATATTACTCCCGATATAATCAGTCGAAGTGCCTCTTCTAGTTGTGCTGTGGTATAATTGCTGTAATTCCTGCTTCCTATGACTCTTTTGTAGCGACCCATTTTCCCTAGAAATGAATGCGACCTGCTAAGTTTATCACGAAAAAAAAACATACTTGTTACCGATCGAAAACAACGCAAACATGTGATGGCCAAAGTCAGACCAATACTAACGAATGATGTATTGGGCGACTTTGGTCATAGTTCATCAATGAACCAATTCAGTACAATAAACATCAACAATCTAAGAAAAGCTATCTCAGAAATAGAATCTTATAAAAATCTTAGTGAGAATCTCTCAAAAAAGATTCTATATGATTGCTTCAATATAATTATTATTATGGGTGAATCATTGTTTAGTACATAAACTCCCATCAAAATTAAAGTGTTCCACCATTACTCATGTGCCAAAAGTTCATCATTCTGAGCTATATACAAATCTGCGGCCGATTGATGTCATGTCAGATGTCGAGAAGCTGTTCGCAGGAAATTATAAACGAACAAATCATTGAATTCATTGAAGAAAATAAAATTTTAATAAAAAAGCAAGCTGGATTTAGAAAAAAATATTCTACAGAAACAGCAATCCAAATGGCGGTGGAAGACTGGAGAGGAAGTATAGATGAGAAAGAATGTATTGTAACGGAATTTTCAGATTTCAAAAGAGCATTTGAGACTATGGATAAGGAAAAGTTGATAATGAAATTACATGGTTAAATTTTACAAAATTCTTTAATAAATAGAAGTCACACTAAGATAAAATGTATGTCAATAGGGAATTATTTAAGTGTCAATACAGTTAGGCTCATGACTAATGATGAAAAATAGAAGTAGTCAAATCATTCAAATACCTGTGTATACATATATTATGTAGATAGAAATCTACTGTTGCAAGAGCATTATGAATAAACATACGTTATTTCAAGAATGCTAAAAAAAGATAAATTACTTCTTTAAATTTTCCCATAATCGCAATATGTATTCCAAAAAAATTGTGTATAACATTATAATCCTCCCATTTTTTATATTGTTCAACCATTTTCTTTACAGTAAATGACAACATATTTTCAAAGTTACAAATTCTGAAAAATAAAGCTATGAGAATTATTTTAAATAAAAACAAATATTCTAGGATTAAGTCTATGTTAGAAGAACAACAGTGGTTGAATGTAAAAAATGTCGTATGTTATTTAATTTTCATTTTCATATTCAAATTGTAAAATCATTTATTACCAGCTCATTTAAAAACTTCACAAAATTAAATACATAGTCATTGTCATGTATGTAGTATAGATTTCCATCTGCAAAATTGTAATAGTAGCATGACTAGCAAATCTGTATGTTCAAAGAGAGTATTTGAATTTAATAAGTTGGATAATGATATTAAATAGTGTTGGAATTTAAAAATGTTTGAGGTGAAATTAAAAAATCACTTGATGAATATTCAAAATGCACAGTGCTGTAATTTTAACAGACAAGAACGTAACATTACAGAAAATTGATTCAAAAAAATGTATAAACGAATAATTTTACAAAATTGACATTGTAGCATTAATGCTAAATAAAACTTCATCAAACAAGCAAGCAAAGATCTCAACTTAGAACTAGCTATTGTCCTCCTGATGTGCAACTGTTTAGTAGCTGTATGTGTTGGCTCAACCTCATGTCGCTTCAGCCATCAATGTTTCGCTCTGATGTGATCATGCGATAAGAAGTAAAAATCGAGCCGCACAATCGATAAACAAGCAACAGTGATAGTATTATTAAATAACGGTATTTTATATTCACGTTGAAAAATTTATATAAACAAACATTATCAATTAGAATGTTTTAATTGGGTTGATAAGTTTCCATCTGTTGCTTTTTTCACTTGCTAGATATTAGATGTACTTATTATACTTTCCATTTCGTAGATGAAGATAAGAAACATATGTAATTCTTTTGGAAAATTGGCTTTATTTATACTTAAAGCGGTTTGAAAATTTTAAAACATGAACGGTCTGGTCCTGATAATCTAGACAAGAGGTATAGCAAAGTGTTCTATGCAATGTTATTTTTTGCACTGTCTAAAAGAGAAGCTCCCATTATGTTTTGTGTGTTTTACCCATTGAGTTCTTACCTTTACCTCCCTCTTGCACATATATCTGGAAGGAGAGGAAAGAAGGACAACCTATAGGCTACATCGTGTGTGTATATTCTACACGGATTAACAAATAATCTCTATAAAGATAGACGGAAAGATCCATCAACACTGGGAGGGATTAACAGGGTTAACCCATGAATTCGAAGGCAACTCTATACCAATTTGAATGAGAGGCGTTTGCGACTACAATTTATTATAGTTAAATTAAAAAAAACATAAAGCTTTGATAACTTAATAAATAAAATAATCGGTAAAAAGGATGCTTATAAATATCAAAAAAAATAATAAAGAAGCTAATACAAATAAAGCTTTCCGTCATAGTTTATTACATAAATACGTACATTTATCGAAAAACTCATTAGGATATTCAAACTTAATGTTTGCAGCTCATTCAGAAGTTATTACGTAAGGAGCCCAATACCAAACATACAGAGAAACATACAAACAAATCATTTCACGATCAGTTTTTGGTAGCCTCATCTTGGAGTTCGACCTAAAGATGATGTCTGTAGTGTTATTTGCTTATTTAATTTTTTCTATGTCAAACCTCCGATAGAATTTTTATTTGGATATTATATCAATATTTTGTCTCCGCTGTTAGCGAGAGCGTCCAATTTTTGATCATATATCTATATTTCGATTAATGGCTTACGTTCCAACATTTATTGATAAGGATAAGGTAATTAAATGGCTTATACAGGTGTGACGCCTCCAGCTTATGCGGGTTGTTATGAGACTTTCAGAGTCCGATTGCCGGGTGCATGTTAATTACTGCTCAGTTTCATTTATTAGGGGAAATGCTGGAGCGTTTTGGAGACATTCCATTTCTATGTACAGGTTGGTACTTCGGAGGTTGGGTTCCTTTTCTTGACATATTATTTTTTCGTTTTTACAATTATTGTAATTGCATTTTTTATATCCGCTGCTAAGGTCTGTGATCACAATTTGAATTCGTTGGATTTTGCACATAAACAAAACAAGTTTAACCTAGAAACTGCATGTAATTTTGTCAGCCGAATTGCTCTTATTTTCTGAGACATTCTGCGTAATATGGTTTCAGTTACTAATACTACCACATCAAGATGTAACAAACTGATGGAATTCACAATGTATTCAGAGAACGTTTACAAGGAGCGTTGTAACTTCTATTGAATGAGAAGAAAAATGTTGAATAGCGCTTTTTTAAGATGCAACCTTTGATCTATCTTTTTTTTTTTCTAACACAATGAATATATTGTATGTTACACGCCTATTGTAATCTGATAACGTTGTTATGGTAATAATTGTCACTATTATCGGTAGAGTTCAAACGGTTATTGTATATTTTTTAGATTAGAATAGTAGTCGACGAAATTTTATACCTATTTGCGAACGAATGAACTCTTAGCGCGTGCATAAGATACAATACTCGATTTTAATAACAATAGTTGTTTTAAGTAGGTCGACTTGACCGTCAATATTCAGCTACGGAATTGTATGGCTTGCTAGATAACCCGAGTCTTGAACTGCCTGAAATTAATAGAACTGGAGAGCTCTATTAGAAGATTACTTCACACTTAGACAGAAAAAGAAATTCTATCGGCTGGCTATCGAGATATGCAGAACCTAAGCCACAATGAATAGCTGAGGGGTAGCATGTCCATCTGGGATGGCCTTGGACATGGCGGCCTCATAGAGGGGTGGCCAGGGGGGTAAAGTTGGTTGACATATCGTTGGACAAGAGCCAGAACATCCACCTCCTGTAGATGTGAAAGTTAATAGTTCCAAATAATTATTTCGAATATATTCTATTACCGACATCTCCGTCTATGAAGAGGCAATAAATATTTAATGGTGATTTTGAATGCATTGAAGTCACCTGCTTTGTATAAAGAGTGGTTAAAAAGACGGGAGGGGGTGAGTCTGGGAGAACGGAGTACATTGAATACCGCACCCTAACGTTGGAAACATGGTATATTAAGTCCGCGTCTATTTATTATTGGTATACTAAGTGACATATAAATCCGAACACCCAGTTTAAATGGTTTTATTTTAATAAAAGTTGGTGAATGTATTTATCTTGCTGTAAATAACAAGTGAACAAATTTTCAGCCTTATCAGTTGGACATTCCGGTTTTTATACTGCTTTTTTTTAATTCACTAACGCTCTAAAAATGAATATTTCAGCCGCAGTAAAGAATCAACGTTGGCGGATTTTGGTTCTTGACATCCTTTACGATCGATTACGATGCCTAGAGTACGGAGACCTGTACGATTTCGTCAACTTAGTGAGTAGTGGGACTTCGGGAAGCTGGACTTTCTTTTCGGGCAATTGCAGTTAGAGTGCAAAGAAGTGTAGACACTGTGGTTAGGTGTTGTCAGGCATGGCTTCGAGAAGGCCGTACGCAAAGAGCACGGGGCACTGGACGCCGCCGTAGAACAACAGACCGTGAAGATCGCCGCCTAAGATTATTGGCCTTAAGGGACCGTTTCTCCACTACCAGGTCCATTGCAAATGAATGGTTTGCAGAACACGGAAGACCTATTGGCATGCGAAGTGTTTACCGACGAATGAGAAGTTTTGGCTTGTTTTCATACCGGCCACACTGGGTCCTCCCTTTAACTCGAGAACACCGACGTAATCGCCTTGAGTGGTGCAGACAACGGTCACTCTGGGATCAGGAATGGAACAGTATTGTCTTTAGTGACGAGTCTCGATTTTGTTTAGGCATGCACGATGGTCGTGCCACGGTTAGAAGGCGACGTGGTGAAAGGAGGAATCCACAGTTTTTTGTTGAAAGACATGTTCATCACACTGTTGGAGTTATGGTTTGGGGTGCTATAGCGTATGGTTCCAGGTCACTTTTAATCTTCATCAGAGGTAACATGAACGCGCAGCGTTATATCCACGAAGTTCTAGAACACCATCTTTTACCCTATC